CATGTTCAGATTCTTCCAATTAGCCCCAGATGTTTCCAGCCAAGGTTTTTTCCCCTTATCAGATCTGATTGATTTCATGCATAACATTAGCTGTTAATTTCTTGGTCGTCTTATAATCTAGATCAGGTGCCCACTAATTGGACTTGAAGACCAAATCAAATTTACTGCCTATTTTTGTTTGACCTGCAGCTAAAATAGATTTTACATTTTTAAAGGACTAAAAATGACATATAAACATTACATGAAATTAAAATTTCAGTATCCATAAATAGTGTTAGTGGAACACAGCCACTGTATTTTGTTAGTATTAGCTATGACTCTTTGTAAGCTTCAATGGCAGAGTTGAGTTGCTGCAACCACTGTAGCGACCCTGTTTTCCCAGCACCATTTATTGAACAAACTTTCTTTGCTCCAATGCATATTCTTTGCTCCTTTGTCAAAGATTAGTTGACCATAAATCTGTGGGTTTATTTCTGGGTTTTCTATTCGGTTCCATTGGTCCGTGTGTCTGTTCTTGTTCCAATACCATGCAGTTTTGATTATTATGGCCTTGTAGTATAGTTTGAAATCTGGGAGAGTGATGCCGCCATTCCCTTTCTTTTTTTTCAGGAGGGTTTTAGCTATTCAGGGGTTTTGATGGCTCCATATGAATTTCATCAATATTTTTTCTATTTCTTTGAAGAATGACATGGAAATTTTATTTGGAATAGCATTGAATCTGTAGATTGCTTTCGGTAGGATGGCCATTTTGATAATGTTAATTCTTCCAATCCATGAGCAGGGGATGTCTTTCCATTTCTTTGTGCCTACTTCTATTTCTTTTAACAGTGTTTTATAGTTTTCTTTGTAAAGGTCCTTCTTTTGTTATGTTTATTCCCAAGTATTTGATTTTTTTTAATATCAATAATAAAATGGATGGTTTTCTTGATTTCTTCTTCTTCAGATTTATTGTTTGTGTATAGGAAGGCTACTGATTTTTGTGTGTTGATTTTGTATCCTGCCACTTTACTAAACTGTTTGATTAGTTTAATTAGTTTTTCTGTGGAGTTTTTGGGGTTCTCTATGTATATTACCATATTGTCAGCGAATAGTGATAGTTTGACTTCTTTCTTGCCTATTTGTATTCCTTGCATGTCTTTCTCTTATCTTATTGCTCTGGCTAGGACTTCTAGTATTATGTTGAAAAGCAGTGGTGAGAGTGGACATCCTTGTCTTGTTCCAGATCTTAATGGGAATGCTATGAGTTATATTTTCTCGCAAAACTTTCACTGAAAATTTGAACTTAGAATTAAACTGATCTGTTATAAGCACTTTTCATATGTATTTTTCATCCATTTTTTTAGTCAGTTGCATGTTATCTATTTTGTGAATCCATACTTGCATATTTATTTTTTACTTCTGTTTTCCTCATGATTAGAAAATTAATGAGATTTGGCTTTTCCTTTTACTTGTATTTATTAGTTATGGAATTTTAATTTTTTGTTCTTTAAGCCTTGTTATTTAAATTGAGGTATGACTTACTGTTCAACTTAATCAATTTTGACAGTTCTATACTTCTATACCTGTCACCCATAACAAGATAAGGCTATTTCTGTCATCCCAAAATGTTTCCCTGTGCACTTTGTAGTGAGCACCCAATCCTTAGTCAGCCACTTTTGGATTCTTATTACCATAGTTTGGGCTTCATACAAAAGTAATCAGAAAGTATGTATTCTTCACTTTCTGGGTTCTATCCCTCAACATAATAGTTTTCCTTTTAAGAAATCAACCTTTTGAGATATATTTTATATACAAGTAAATGTATCAGTTTTAAGAATATAGTTTGGTTAGTTTGAATATTGTATGCTCATATACTGTTGTTGCAGCCAAGAAATAAAATAATTCCAATGTTTCTTTCACCTCAGATAGCACCTCATGGGCTTTTAGCAATCAGTCTTTATCCCCTAAAACCACACCAGCTTCAAGGCAACCAGTGATCTGCTTTTTGTCAATGTAGATTAATTTTGCCTTTTCTAGAATTACAAAATAAGTATACTCTATTTTGTCTCTAGATTAATTTTTCTTAGCATACTGTTTATGAAATTCATTCATTTTGTATGGTTGAACCTTAAACAACATGGATTTGAACTGTGGGACCCAATTATACATAAAATTTCTTGTAAACAAAAGTAAACTTACAGTATCCATAATTATTTTTTTTATTTTTTTTTTTTTAAAGATTTATTTATTTATTGATTGATTGATTGATTGATACATACATACATACAAGCACTGGGTACAGTCAGAACCGCGGGAAGGTGAGAGAATTCACCAGAGCCAGAGCGGGGAGCAGAGCAGGCAGAAGTACACTGCTGAGGGGAGCAGCGGGCGGCAGGAGAGGTCTGCGCGCCATGTGGGACCCTCCTCCGGTGGCCGGGGAGCAGCCGGGGATCGAACCGGCCCTGCAGAGGCTGGGGGCAGCTTCGCAACCCAGCGCTCAACCGCTGCGCCACCAGGGAGGCCCACAGTATCCATAATTATAGTACAGTATTGTAAATGTAATTTCTTTTCCTTGTGATCTTCATAATAACATTTTCTTTACCTTGCTTTATTGTCAGAAAACAGTATGTGATGCATATAGCATACAAAATAAGTTAATTGTTTTTATTATCGGTAAGGCTTCGAGTCAACAGAGGCTATTAGTGGTTAAGTTTTGCAAGAGTCAAACGTTATACGTGATTTCAACTATGGGGCAGGAGGATATCCTAACCTCATTGTTGTTCAAGGGTCAACTGTAGTTTGCTCTTTTGTTGATTAGTATTATATTGCACCGATATACCCCAATTTTTATTTTTCTCCTCCTGACTACTGAGGTTATTTCCAGCTTGAGACTTTAACAATGAAGGCTACTCTGAACATTCATTTATAGGTCTTTCTGTGGAAATTTGTTTTCATTTTTCCTGTGATTGGAATGATCGGACTCTAAGTTAGACGGATGCCTGACTTATATAAGAAACTGTGATTGTATTTGCCTCCACCTCTTAAGTCTATTTGTATAGACTTAAGTCTCACCTCTCCTTTCCCCCTTTCTGTCCTATACCTGTCCTACACCAGGTGCTCTGTTTTTTGGTACCAGCAGAATGTTCAAGCCATGTATACCCCTGCCCTCAACCCAATCCCCTGCTCCAACCACCATTAAAAGCCCTACCTATTCTTTTCCTCCCTGCTCTCTCTAGCTATATTTAGAATAGGTTGGGACATCTGCCTTGCTTTCCTCATAATACTTTGTTAGATGAGTCATAAACTCTTTCCATATCTCTTGCTGCATGTGTGTTGTCTTGATATCTACTTGTGGGCTGTGGTTCAAATGATAGTTTAATTTCAGAGTCTTTGCAGTATTTGTTGGCCTGCTTTGTTCATCTGGTGCCATAGGTCCCTGCTGGTGCCAGCTCGCGGGAACAGAGTAGCTTCCCCAGACTAGGACACCTGGTAGGGCTAAGTGGAGAAAGTTTGTCTTGGCTTATGGGGCCAGTTTGCTTGTTGTGGGGGGATCTCCTTTACCGATGTTGGCAGGCACACATTTTTAGGTGGGGGAAGAGAAACTCCCCCTTTGCTGATAAATCTTGGTCTCCTGAAAGGAGATACAGGTTCTTTGGGGAAGGAGAGCACTTCCCTTCATCAGTTCATTATCAGTGATGTCCTGAAGTTACCAGGGAAATCCGTTTTGATCTGGGGAAAGAATGACTGTACGTGGGCTGCCTTCTATTGCTACCTTATGGGCTGCCCTTTCTGTGGATTTAGTGCAGTGAGACACTGGCCACTTCACCATTCCTCTAGTCCTGGGGAATCTCATTGACCAACATTTCTTCTCAACTTTCAAAGTTTGCTTCTTTGGTTGTCTCTATGCTCTTGTATTATTTTTAGAATTGATGGCTATATCTATTCACAGAGAAACCTTGGGTACGCCATCTTTACTAGACCAGAAATCCTTTGTGACTTTTTTTTTAAATTATTATTATAACCTTGTTAAAAGGGAGAATTGACATTTTCATGATAATGAGTCTTTTACTGCAAGCATATGGTAATCTTTATTTTTTCAGTAGGTGATAATCATACCTCCTTCACTGGGTGATGTTGAAGAATATTAGTTAAGGCATGGAAGATACTTAGAGTGGTACCGGAGTGTAAAGTACTTACAAGTGTTAGCTAATGTTATTCCATGTGTCCTTTGGTAACATAGTAAAGCTTTTAAAAAATTAAAAATGAAGTTTCAGGACACTTTTGTTAGGTTTATGCCTAAGTATTTCATTCTTCTTTGTTTTTATTATGAATAGAATTGTTCATCTATTATATCTTCTTTATCTCTTGGTTCTTTGGATCTTATATGAAAATAAATGGTGCCTTCCAACAATTAGCTTATTTATTTATTTTCTTGTCTACAACTAAACTTAGAACTCCAGAAATGAATGGATGGATGGATGGATGGATGGATGACCTCTTCATGTGGGCTTGGCACTGTTTTGGTACTATTTATACTCCAAATGCAGTATTTTTTTGTAATCTAGCATTTTTCCTGGGTATGACGTATGGTTGTGTTATGTTGATCTTTATTATTAAAATTTTTCACTCTTGTTATTATCAAGCCATAGCTTTTCAAATCACTCTTTAAACTGTTGGTTTTTGGAGGACGCAGCTGTAGTCCTCCACATGCCTACACTGTGTGAATCTGCTACCAGAGTATCTGTTCCCTATACTGGAAAAATAGCTCTTGGCTAAGTGAGATTTTGAAGTGAAATATGGAAATATGAATTGGGTCCATTTAATTAACCTAAACATGTAATAAAATACTAACAATTTAAAAAGAAAAAGAAACAAGTACAGATTATTTTGGGGGGTGCAGCAATAGGAACAAGAAAAGTGAAATTTGGGATGCAGAACTCATAGCCCACCTGGTACTGGGTGGTGCTAGAGTGTCATATGCAACCTTATTCACAGAGGACTCATTTGGATCTTTTTTCCAGAAGAACTCTATGGTGACTTTGAAGACCTAGAAACAGGGGACGTGCACAAAGGGAAGTCTGGCCCAGAAACTCAGGTATGCCTTTTTCATAGCCAGCTCTTGCCACTGATCCTTGATCTGTGGTCAGTATGTTCTGAGAGTGGCCTATATTAAGAAGTGCAGGCCTTGCTTGTTTTCTGTGTAGATTTATAGACTGGCTGGATTGCTTCCTAAAAATATAGAGGATGGGGATAAATCAAAGATTGCTGGTTTATTCTTGATACCTACTACTTCTTGTCCTTATGATTCTTCAGTCATTGAAAGTTTTAGCTCCTGAGTCATGGGGATAAATCAAAGATTGCTGGTTTATTCTTGATACCTACTACTTCTTGTCCTTACGATTCTTCAGTCATTGAAAGTTTTAGCTCCTGAGTCACTTTCTTTTTTTCCATCATTCTCTTCTCAAATTTAAGTGCCACCTAAAAAAAAAGCCCCCTATTCTCCCTAATGTTTCTTTTGAACAACATCTAGGAGCATTTGAGCATTTGGGTTAAGGACACTTTTTATTCATATTTAGCATTCCCAACCAGATTAAGGAATTCTAATGTATCGTAAATGTTTTTTATAGCTATACATGTTAGAGCCAAAATCTTTTTGTTTTGTTTATATGATGATAATAACTTAAGACTTTTGTAGCTCAAATATAAATTTTTAATCTTCTTTATGATTTTTTTTCAAGATTTATTTATACAAGAGCCGGGGTACAGGCCAGATACGCGGGTGGGTGAGAGGATTCATCAGAGACAGAGCTGGGAACAGAACAGGCAGACTAAATAAATTGCTGAGGGGAGCAGCGGGCAAGATAGGAGAGGTCTGCTTGCCATGTGGGTTGCTCCGAGGCTGGCGGGGATCGAATTGGCACTGTGGAGGCTGTGGAGAGCTTCACAGCGCTGTGTTCAACCACCTGTGCCATCAGGGAGGCCCTATTCTCTATGATTTAAAGAAAAGATTTCCACAAACTTTTTTTTTTTTTTTTTAGATTTATTTATTTATTTATACAAGCACTGGGTAAAGTCAGAAGCGCAGGAGGGTGAGAGAATTCACCAGAGCGGGGAGCAGAACAGGCAGACTGACGAAGTACACTGCTGAGGGGAGCGGCAGGCATGGCAGGAGAGGTCTGCGTGCCATGTGGGACCCTCGCTGGCAGCCGGGGATCGAACTGGCGCTGCAGAGGCTGTGGGCAGCATCGCAGCCCAGCGCTCAACTGCTGCACCACCGGGGAGGCCTGATTTCCACAAACTTTTAAGACATTTTCTTTTCTGTAAATTTAAGGTTGAAGATGTCAAGGAAGAAGTCAAGGAAGAAGTTGACCCAAATGAAGAAGAAAGTGCCAAGAAAAAGCATTTGGAAAAAAAGAGAAAATTGAAGGAAATGTTTGATGCAGAATATGATGAGGGAGAAAGTACCTATTTTGATGATCTTAAAGGAGAAATGCAGAAACAAGCACAGGTAAGAAAATTCAGTTCCTGTTAGCTTCAAGATTGTAATAATATTTTCATAACTTGTGTCTCTGCTTCCTGGCCTGCCTCTGTGCTTGTTGTTTGGACTCCTATATCAGTAAGCAGTGAATGTGTTTATTCACACAGTCATCTAATTATTTCTTCAGTCAGAAATTCAGCAGAAATTTATGAGTATGTATTTTGTATCAAGAATTAAATGCTGAGAAAACAGAATGGCCTGAGCAGAACAGCCACTTTTGAGGATCTCACACTGTAGTAATTTGAGACAGTGTTTATTTTTAAATGCAAACATTATCTTGCCATTCTGAGTACTGCTTCTTGGAACCATAAGTAAATAATTTGAATGAGTAGGTAATCCTTGGCCTGCATGGTTTATGTACACATCTGTATTCTCTGGAGAAGGTTTTTTTTTTTTTTCTGGAGAAGATTATTTGAGGACTCACCTTGATCAGAGTTCAGAGGATATTCTGAGTATAAGGTCATTGTGTGGAGATAAAGGGAGCTCTTGCAACACTGAAAGGGAGATTCTGGCCCTCCTGCCTTTTGATACTGTGCAAACTATTTGAGTTGATCAGCCCTCTCTGAAGGAAACACAAAGATGTATATACACAGTTGAGCTCCCCTTTGATAAGAGGGGCCACCAAGAATTCCTGTAAGCTGGAACATAATGTTAATGCTGCCTGTATGTTATGCAAATTAAGTATATGATTTGTGAATTTGTGGTTAATAGGCTGTGTTCAAACTAGACCTTCATCTAGTCAAAGATGGTATAATCTAGTTAGTCATTTACATAGTGGTTCCAAGTCTAATTGGTCTTTGACAGAAGCAACTAAGAATTGTAAAGCTAGTTCTGAAATCTTTGCTTCTGGCCATTTATGATTTAAATTGCCTAGAACCTTGTGGGCCATTGATGTTGGACTTTGATGTTTTACTCCGAGTTTTCTGGGGTTCCATGGGAGTTTTGAGCAGAAGGGAAATATACCTTGAAAGGATTGCCTGGCAAGAGTTCAGAAGATTAAGGTGATTCACTCTGAGGGACAGGTGTGGGGTGAGGGTAGGGTGACGATGGACCAGAATTAAATTCTGGTATACTTTATTTGAAAGCTAGATGGATAGGGAGTCCAAGTAGATTGAATGCGGTATGTGAGAGAGGAAATAAGGATGACTTAATGGAAGGAGAAGGTTGGCATAAGTAAGAGAGAAAAACCTCTAATTGGTGCAGGTTTGTCTGGGAAGATGAAGTTTGGATCTCTTAGATTTGAGGTAATCTCTCAGACAAGTGGAATGTCAAGCTAGTCAGTGAGGAATATTAGATAGAAGGACTTTGAGGTACAATCCTTAGCATTTGTTTTATTTTGTTTGTAAAGATTTATTTATTCATTTACACAAGAACCGGGGTACAGGCCAGATGCACAGGAGGGTGAGAGGATTCACCAGAGACAGAGCTGGGAACAGAACAGGCAGACTGAGGAAATACACTGCTGAAGAGAGCAGTGGGCACAACAGGAGGTCTGCTGCGCCATGTGGGACCCTCGCTGGCCGGGATCAAACAGGTGCTCCACAGGCTGCAGACAGATTCACAGCATGGCGCTCAACCACTTGCACCACCAGGGAGGCCCAATCCTTACCATTTAGATGCTACTTAAAACCATGAGATGGATGGGGTGACCTAAGGAGTAAACATAAAGACAGAAGAGAAGACCAGGACTGACACTGGTACTCAATATAGGAGGCAGGGCAGAGAGGAGGAAGCAGCAAAGGGATTGAATAGTGTCCAGGAGAGAGAAGACATCAAAGCGCACATGAATTATTCTAGGTAGAAAAAAGTAACACACCCATTAGTGTGTTAATTGCTTAGGGAGGCCTTTAGTGACTTTGGCGTTTTTTATAGAGTGTGGGTAGAAGTCCTTTTTTTTTTTTTTTTTTTTTTTTTAGAAGACCAATTTTAAGGGATTTATGAGAATGGTAGCAGAGAAACTAGTTATGGTGATAGAAAACTTATGAGGCATTTTTCTTCAAACAAACAGAAATGGGGCAATAGATGGAAGATATAGGGTCAAAGAAGACTTTAAGATGAGAGAAATAACAGACAATATCTGCTGGATAAAATCCAGCAAGAGTGGGTGACATCCAGTGTGCAAGTGAAGTCTGGCATTAAATAAAAAGCATGGATAAATAATTTCTAACAGTTTCCTAGTGAAGCTTCCTATAATAATGGAAATGTTTTTCCTACATTGCAGCCACTAGCCACATGTTGATGCTGACCATTTGAAATGTGGCTAATGTGATTGAGGATGTGAATTTTTAAATTCTTGATGTTCATTAACTTATATTTAAGTAGTCTTGAGTGGCCACCGTATTGAACAATGTAGAGCTATAATAAAAGGCTACACCTGGATGTTAGCTCTGGTAGAGGGTTGACTGTAGAAAATCTTTTAGATTGCTTAATTTTTGAACAAATTAGGAAGCAGTCAACAGCTGGGAGTGAGAATGAAGAGTAACATTAGATGTTTGCAGGAAGTATGAAATAATTGGGAAGAAAAGGAAGTGTAGACTGGAGAAGTTGAGAATGTTTGCTCTCCAGCATTAAGGGCTCCTTTCACAGTTGTTTACATTTGCTTTATCTTAGAGCAGCAGAAAAGAAAGCAGTTGGAATATATCCTGAGCAGACTGTAAAGATAAAATGTATATTATTTTAAATTAGGATAAAGCCTAAATAATTCTGTCTGTGGTTCCTTTATTTAGAAATTGCTTATCTTTTAAATGTTAATCTTTTTTGTTTTTAAAGATAACAGCATTGTGAGTTTTTTTTGTTTGTTTTTTTCCCCTTTCATATATAGCTTAATCGGGCAGAATTTGAAGATCAAGATGATGAAGCCAGAGTTCAGTATGAGGGTTTTCGACCTGGGATGTATGTCCGAATTGAGATAGAGAATGTTCCCTGTGAATTCGTGCTTAATTTTGACCCCCATTACCCAATTATTTTGGGTGGTTTGGGCAATAGTGAAGGCAATGTCGGCTATGTTCAGGTAGGTACCCTTTGATACATCTTTACATTTGAGGCTTTTTGGACATACTTGCATCAATACTCCATTGAAATCTGTTTTCCCCTCAGATGCGTCTGAAGAAACATCGTTGGTATAAGAAAATTCTCAAGTCCCGAGATCCAATCATTTTTTCTGTAGGGTGGAGGAGGTTTCAGACCATTCCACTCTATTATATTGAAGACCACAATGGAAGACAGAGGCTTCTAAAATATACCCCGCAGCATATGCACTGTGGAGCAACCTTTTGGGGTAAAATATGATAAGAATAACTTTCTTATAGATTAAGATGAATGTAATTTATTATATAGTTTTGGTTTTTTCCTTTTACAAAATCCCAGTTCCTAAGATTGCTTTTTTTTTTTTTTGGTGTGGATTATACATGTGAAACAGAATCCAAAATTTGTGGTTCACAATATTTTTTGTTTGTTGTCTTTAAGGACCTATCACTCCACAAGGAACTGGGTTCTTGGCAGTCCAGTCTGTCAGTGGCATAATGGTAAATATCTTGGATGTTTTTGTGTTTGATAAATGTATCTTGAATATAAACATTGAAAATTATTCATTTTCAGAGTATAGTAAATGTCTCTTAATTTTTCTACATCTTTAAAAGTAGAGTGGAAGTAGAGGAGGTAAGAGTTTAATGGTATCGATAACATGTTACTTTTTATGTATATTTTAGATTTATTTTTCTAAAAATATTTAAGCAATGATCACTGTGTGCTAAGCATCATAAAGTTTTGAGGGTACATTGGCTACCATCTAAACATACGCCTGCTAATGCTGGTTTAGTGAAATATGTCTTCATACTGTCTTCATTTGATCAACTAGAACAGGTTTATTGGATCTATTTAACAGAAAATAGAATAATGAACAGATGGAATCTGCCTTAGAGATACACAATTTAATTTCTTAAAGATTATAAACAAATTGTCATATTCCTTTTCATTCCAAATAGGCCATCGTTGTGAAATTATGTTACAGTGGAATCACTCTCAGGATAATACTGAAGATATCATTAGTTTGGCTTCCATGTATTAGAAATTCAGATTGCTTTTGTTAAAATACTTATTTGCATGTTCAGTGTTTTTTATTCTTTCTTAGCTGATTATAAGTAAATGTACTTTAGTAATTTGTTGCATTGCACAAAATTGTTCCTGTTGCTGATATTCCTGTTTTCAAATTTGGGGGGGTCCTTTTTAGCCTGATTTCCGGATAGCTGCCACAGGAGTGGTCCTTGATCTGGATAAATCCATAAAAATTGTGAAGAAATTAAAGCTCACTGGTTTTCCATATAAAATTTTCAAGAACACTTCATTTATTAAGGTCTGTGTGTGTGTGTGTGTGTATATATATATATATGTATATGTATATAATGTTCATATATTTATAAATTTATGCACTGTTAAAAGTAAAATGAAATATTTCTAATAGAAGTAATATTTTTATGATTATTTGAAATCTTTTGTAAAATTGGTCTTTGATATTTTGTTTATTTCTTGATACAGTCCCTATGTTGCTTAAATATGATCAGAAATCTTAAGATGAAGTAAAATGGAGGTAATTAGCAATGGGCATTATTATTACATCTGGCACTATCACAGAACTGATCCCTGTCATCTCATCCACTGAATTACAGTTACCTGCCATTCTGGTTTGTTGTTAAGAGAAGGAGAAAGCCACAGACTTGTCAAACAGATTGGTGAAAAAAATAGAAACATTTCACAAAATACTCTTGGCAAGGGTACAGAGAAATGGACATTGTTAGCACTATGATATGAGAGGGTAGTTTGACCAACATATTGATGATTTTATTAGTTTAAAGATAGTGTTTAAGATTATTAAATATTCTTATAAGGTAATAGGGATCATCATTTATCTCACTATTTTTTCTTTTTAATTTATTTTCTTACATTATTGTTAATTTTTAGGCAGTATTTGATTTCTTCTCTCATGTGTACTCCCTGTAGTTCTACCACCATCACCATAGTACCCGTGATACATCACTACAGTGCCTTGTTCTCTTCCCTTTCCTGTTTTGACCCTGTTTCCCATCTCCTGCTATATGCCTCAGATCTATAGTCAGCTTGCAAGTTACTGGTTTTTTCTGAGTGTGTGTGCACATAAGTGATAGGATTTGAGCTATAGTCCATCCCTATGAGATGATAGCCAAGGCTATCTAGGCCAGTTCATAAATACCTCTTTGATCTCTTCTACAAAGATATCAGTGATGAGCTTGCTGGTGATCCCACAAAGTTGTGTTTTTTAGTAATTCTTTTAAGTAGGGAGATATTTTATTTATCATTCTCTAATAAGTTTTTATTTTTTAACCAAGGATATATTTTTGGTATTTATGAACTCAGAGGAAAGGTACCTGATTTTGTGTATCTATTTTTACTTTTCATATACCTGTAGGGAATGTTTAACTCTGCCTTGGAAGTGGCTAAATTTGAAGGTGCTGCAATTCGAACTGTCAGTGGAATAAGGGGACAAATCAAGAAAGCGCTCCGGGCTCCAGAAGGAGCTTTCCGGGCCAGCTTTGAGGATAAGTTGCTGATGAGTGGTAAATATCCTTTTTGCTGCATTTGTCACAATGTGTTGCCTTTCACTATTAATTTATAGCCAGCATGGATAAGAGGTTGTAATTTAGGTCTTTAGAAAATTGGAGTTAGCTCCATCACTTCCCAGTTGGAGCATCTTAAGCACTATGCCAGATCATGCTGCATTTGGAGCTATTTGGTTCATACCTAGCCAAAGTTTTTGTGATATTCAAAAATAGTTTGGGGTAAATATTTTGCTTGATAAGTTGAATGAATCTTCTTGAAAATTATATGAATGAATCTTCTTTGAAAATGATAAAGTAAATTTCTCTCTTTCCAGATATTGTCTTCATGAGAACTTGGTACCCTGTTTCCATTCCAGCCTTCTATAACCCAGTAACCTCTTTGTTGAAGCCAGTCGGTGAGAAAGACACCTGGTCGGGAATGCGGACAACGGGTCAACTCCGTCTTGCTCATGGTATCAAACTAAAGCCCAACAAGGATTCTCTGTATAAGGTATAGACATATATAACCTTTAGACAAGGGTTATCCAGGTGCTTTGTACATAATGTTTTCTGTTCTTTGAATTTTCAAGTAGAAAGTCTAATGGTAAATCTGATTGAATATGTTATATATTATAGAATGTTTAAGAAGTGGTAATAGTAGTTTTTTGTGGATTGGAAAGCATACTAAAACTTTCCATACTAAAACTAAAAGCATACTAAAAAAAAAAGCATACTAAAACTTTTCTCTTTTGAACTCTTTTTCCACCATATTTATGTATGGTGGTTCTTATTTTGCTAGTTCTTATTGAAGCCATGTGGGTTTTGGGGAAAAAGTCTTTCCCGAAAAGACTTTTTATTGAACTTTTTATTGAACTGTTAACATATGTACAAAAAAATACACAAATCATAAGTATACAGTGAATTTTAACAAGCCGTTGAATTACCATTACAACAGGTGCTCCTCCTTGTGACCTCCCATGCACTACTCTCTCTTCACCTCAAAGATGGCAACCATCCTGACTCCTGACATGTAAATTCGTTCTGCCTGTCTTTGAGTTTTATAAACTATAGCACATACTATTGCATCTAGGTGCTTTCCTTTAATGGAATGAGATTCATCCATGTTCTTGTATATAGCAGCTATTCATTGGTTGTTATTGTAGAGTAGAATTTCATTATATTGACAGTGTCACTTTATTCATTGATGGATGTTATTTGCAGCTTTTGGATATTGTGAATACTTGAACTCTTACATGCCACTTGTTTGGTGTGCATGTGCATACATTTCTGTTGCATAGATACCCAAGGGTGGGATTGCCAGGCGACAGGGTATTAACTTTAGTGGATGCCTGTAATATTCTGAAGTCATGCCAGGATAGACTCCCACTAACAGCTTGTCGGCATTCTTGTTCCACATCCTTGCCATTAGTTGGCCTCATTGGTACCCTGTTTGCCATTCCAGCCTTCTATAACCCAGTAACCTCTTTGTTGAAGCCCGTCTAGATTCCCATTTCATTTAGATTTTGGTCTCTGAGACCTTTTCTTATTATCTTCACAGGTTAACAGTGGATTTGAAAAGATACGTTTATTTTAATGTGGGGTACTTAATGTTTTGTAATAAGAGGATCGTTCAGGGTCTGCCATTCTGGTGGAAATGGAAGTTTCTTTTTTTTTTAAGATTTATTTATTTATACATATAAGAACTGGGGTACAGGCCAGAGGTGTTTGGGGGGTGAGAGGATTCACCAGAGACAGAGTGTGTAACAGAACAGGCAGATTGACCGAAATACACTGCTGAGGGGAGCAGTGGTCGAGTCAGGAGAGGTCTGCTGCACCATGTGGGTAGCTCCTTGGCCAGGGATCAAACTCGTGCTGCAGTGGCTGTGGTGAGCGTCATAGGTTACATCTTAACCCCTTGTGCCACCAGGGAGGCCCAGAAATGGAAGTTTCTTATGCATTACATTTTCTATAAAATTGTAAATGATAAAATTTTGAATCATCTTACATGAATTTCTATATATGCTTCAGGATGTGATACCTAGTGCCCAGCCTTTGGTGTTTATTTGTTTTTGAGAGGAGTGATAATTTTGTTCTATGGCATTTTAAAATTACTAAACAGAACATGGTCATTGTCATGGGTGATGTCTTTAATACATCTAATACATCTAAAGATGTAGCAGGAATATTCTCTATTAGGTTGTTGACCTTGGAAAAAAATCTAGGGTGAAGCTTCCAACTTATTTTTTCTAAGACCGTTAAGAATTTTAGTCATCTCACGTTAAGCATAAAATTTAAATTACCGGGCCTCCCCTGGTGGTGCAGCTGTTGAGCGCTGGGCTGCAAGGCTGCCCCCAGCCTCTGCAGTGCCGGTTCGTTCCCCAGCCGCCGGCAAGGGTCCCACAAAAATAAACAAACAAATAAATAAATAAATAACCTTGAAAATTGAATACAGAGTGTTTTGCCTTCATCTTTTGTTCAAATTCTGCTTGCTCAGCCAGCCTTCCATTAAGATTAAATTTCTTAATTAGAATCAGTGGCCGCTGATTAGAGGAACCATGTCCTTAAATCCAGAGACTGATAGTCAAAATGAAAAACTGGATTATTCTTACTAGTAGGCTAGAAAAAAAACATCTGAATGCCCTAAAGATAAAGCCTGAATTTTCATGAAAGGAAACTTTGGGTCTGTTCACCTATTTGGTTGAGATAGCATAGTTCATACCATAGAAATGGGTGCAGTTGATTTATTGGAAGAATTATAAACATATTCTGTATAGTCGTCTGTTTTGCCCAGACTTGTGCATGTCCACTGAGATAGTTCATAGATGATTGAATCCTTGTTTTTATGATGGTTAGCAGACACTGGTATTACTGATCTTGTGGAAAAGTAAATTCATTTTAAGTTTTAAGTGCATATAAATCATAGATCATAATGTCACACTCTTTTATTTTTCTTTTCAGCCAATTGTGAGGCAGAAGAAACATTTTAATTCATTGCACATTCCAAAAGCTTTGCAGAAGGCCCTGCCTTTTAAGAACAAGCCCAAGTCTAAAGCAAAGGCAGGCAAGACGCCAAAGGACAGGCTGAGACCAGCTGTCATACGGGAGCCTCATGAAAGAAAGGTACTGTCATTGGAAAACTTCCTGATGTTCTCAATTAGATGTGAACATAATGCTTTCTGTAGCAAACTTGGCATTTCTATGGCATTCTCATTTTTTCATCAGGAAAAGATAAGGGCCAGACTTACTAAAGGCACTAGATCTGGAAGTTAGAGGAAAGGCCAGAACCCATTTCCCTTCTTTTGTTTTCTTATGCTCTGCCTTTTGCATTTAAATGGTGGATAATAGGCATACAGCTGGTGAATCCTGTCTTAGTTATAGGTGTATCTGTAACCACAGAGTGACTAACAAAGATGGTTTTGTGGTAAAGACAATTATTACTTAAATACTTTGCTAAGTAAATAATGTTTCTACTTATATTTCATGTAAGCAATGGTTTTCTAATTCTACTAGGTTAATACTCATTTAAATCTTGGACTGACTCTGCTTTTGATACAGCTAGCTGAGGTGTTTAGGCTCCCTGAAACTTAGAGGTAAGTACATTGTGGCTGTAAAAATACTTTGATGCTCACTGGGTTTTATACTTGTCAGGTCCTTGCACTGCTGGATGCTCTGAGTACTGTGCACAGTGAGAAGATGAAGAAGGCCAAGGAGCAACGACATCTGCACAATAAAGAACACTTCAAAGTGAAACAAAAGGAGGAAGAAGAGAAACTGAAGAGACAGAAGGAACTCAGGAAGAAGCTGTTCCGAATTCAGGGTCAGAAAGAAAAGAGAAATCAGAAGTCTAGCTTGAAGGGGCATGAGGAGCATTAGAAGCCAGCTCTATACAGATAGACTCATTTGGATCTTCAGAGACGGATAGTTTCAGGTATTATTGTACTTACAAATAACAAGTCAAGGGACGGGGCCAAGAAAGATCTCTTTGTTGGATATACTGCCCGATGGTGCCTTTGAGAAGAGAAATGGAAAACTGCTGATAGATGAACCTGTTTATTCTCAGCATCTAGGTCAAGACTTAAAGCATTGTAATTTGTAGTTTTATAGATTCCTTTACACCACTTTTACCTGTCTTAGTTTGATTTTTGTACCACAAAAATATTAAAATATTTTCCTCTTAATTTTGGCTTAGTAGTTTTTATTAGGAAAGAATGTTTGATGGTTGTGGATAACTGTTTATTTTATACCTTCATGTAAATCTTCCAGAAGGGCAAAAAATATTAACTTAGAACCTTAGCTTTAATGTAAAATTTTAGAGAAGTGTATTATTTTGGTTTTTTGTCTGCCATATGTTGTATTCTTTGACTAATCAATGTTTTATATCTTACTTCACCTGCTTTTTGTGTTAGTGTAATAGGTAAATACTGTTTTAAACAGAGGCTTGCTAGTTTTGCTATGTATAAGGGCTGAGAAATAATGTATATTAGGCTTTTTGTATTACACTCATTCATTAACACCCAGCCCTTTATTTTTAACTTGGACTTTTTGTTGAGATAATGGTGCATATATATGATTATATATTGATATAGCCCTGCTATAATCTTAGATCCACATATAGTTGTACACTTTCCCACAGTTGTAATATTTTACAAAATTATAGTGTAAATATCATAACCAGGATATATATTTCTAACTATTTTTTAAAAAAAATTTTATTGTATTTTGTTTCTTACATCATTGTAGTCCCCATAGTTCCTATGCCACCGTATCACCATGAACCATCACCATGTTCCTTTGTGTTCTTCCCTTCCTTGTTTTTCACCCCACCTGTTCCCTCCTTTGTTGAATGCCTCAGTTCTATGGTCAGCTTGCTAGTTTTGACTTTTTCTTGACCTTTCATTTGGATTCTCTATATTCCATATATAAGTGAGACCATCTGGTGTTTATCTTTTTCCTTCTGACTAATTTTGGCTAGTATAATCCCTTTCACCTCCACCACAATGGCTTGAGTTGCCACAAATGGCTTGAGTTTGTCTTTTTTGATCACTGAGTAGTATTCCATTGTATAAATATACCACAACTTTTTGATCCATTCATCTAATTTTGGGGCATTTAGGTTTCCATATCTTGGCTATTGTAAATAGTGCTGTGATTAAACATAGGAGTGCAGGTTTCCTTTTGAATTAGTGTTTTTATGTCCTTTGGGTAGATTCCTAGAAGTAGAATCACTGGATCATATGGTAGATCTATTTTTAGTGTTCTGAGGAACCTTCACACAGCTTTCCATAGTGACTGGACCAGTTTACATTCCCACCAGCAGGATAAGAGGGTTCCTTTATCACCACATCCTTGCCAGCATTTGTTGTGTCCAGTTTTTTTGATGTGGGCCATTTTTGTAGATCTTTGATATTAGTCCCTTATCTGCACAACCAGATATTAACATTGATAGGGTCCATTGATTTTATTCCAATTTCCCATTTTACTTACATTCATTTGTGTGTGTGTATAAAAATACAGGACACTTCACAAAATTTCAGGTCATCCTTGCACAGAGACCATTCTACTCTTCTCTGTTTTCAGTTTTTCACCCCAAAGTAAATTCCCCTGGGGCTAACAATAGATTTCCCACTAGAATTGTAATAAGTTGACCTAATTTGGAAGATTTTACAAAACTCTCCTTGGGTCTCCATAACTGCTTTTTACTACTCTGCAGAAGAGAAGATGAGATAATTCTGCAAGAGCCACATCTTCATAGAAAGTGATAGTAGGGACACTGTCACTTTTAATGAACCGAGGTGTCAGTTTTCCTTCATTCCTCAGCAGTAGTTAGGAAATATGCTAATAAGTCTGGAGACTGACACATAATATCCCTATAAAAGTTAGAAAAGTATTTTAGACTAATTTCCATTTTTTTACAGGTACATTTTAAAATATGAAACTAAATAAAAAATATAGGCTGTAACACCAAGTCTTCCACAATTTGCAACTTTTTTTTTGCCGAATATAACCTAGCTTTAAGAGTCTACAATTAGAAAATGATGGAAAAATAAAAGAATATTTAAGCACAGTTGCAGATAATTGTCCTTCCTAAAGACAGTATATATGTATAATAATTAAGGTAACATTGCTATATAACACTGATTCAGAGATACAGGAGACGACTATTCAGATCTAAGTTAGCACACCACCTACCACCAAAGTAGTCATGTGCTCCACCATAGTCTGATGGGCTCCCTCACCCTTTTTCTCGTCACCCTTCACCTTCCTATCCTCCTCTGGTAGCCTCAATTCTACAGTCTAATTTCTAGGGTTTGTTTTTGGTTTGGTTTCGCCTGACCCTTTTGTTTCTTTGTTTTCTGACTGAAACCGTCTGGTCTTTCTCCATTTTGTCTCTTCAGACCATTTGCCTTTCTCCTGACTTAAAATTTCCTTAGCATAATCCCCTCCAGTTCCATTCATGTAGTTGCAAATGGTTCATCCTTATATATATATATATATATATATATATATGTAGTATTCCATTGTGTATGTGTACCACAGCTTTTCAATCTACTCATCTGCCCTTGGGCACTTAGAGTGTTCTAAAACTTGGCCATTGTGAATAGTGTTTCATTGAACATAGGAAAGCATATCCCTTTGAATTGGTGTGTTTGCATTTTTGGGTAGATACCTAGGCATGGAATTGCTGAATCATATGGTTGATCTATTTTTAATATTTTGAGAAACTACCATATTGTTTAACTTAGGGACTGGACCAGTTTACATTCCAACCAATAGTATACGAGAGTTCCTTTTTTTTAAAAAGATTTATTTATTTATTTATTCAAGCACTGGGTACAGTCAGAAGCACATGAGGGTGAGAGATTTCACTAGAGCTAGAGCGGGGAACAGAACAGGCAGACCGACGAAATACATTGCTGAGGGGAGCAGTGGGCATGGCAGGAGAGGTCTGCGTGCCATGTGGGACCCTCACCAGTGGTTGGGGATCGAACCGGCGCTGCAGAGGCTGCGGGCAGCTTTGCAGCCCAGCGCTCAACTGCTGCGCCACCAGGGGAGGCCCAGGTCTCCTTGTTTTAATGATAGCTTTATATCCAACTTTTTAGTCCATTTTGAGTTGATTTTTGTGTATGGTGTGAGAGAGTGGTCTAGTTTCATTCTGTAGCATAAGACTGTTCAGTTTTCCCAACACCATTTGTTGAAGAGATTTTCCTTTTTCCAATATATACTCTTGGCTGCTTTGTTGTAGTTTAGCTGTTGTCCATGTAACTGTGGGTTTATTTCTGGGCTCAATTCTATTCCTTTGGTTTGTGTGATCATTTTTAAATTCTAGTACCATACTGTTTTGATTACTCTTGCTTTGTAGTACAGTTTGAAGTCTGGTAGTATGATGCTTCTGTTCATTTTTTTGAATCATAGTTTCATTTGACTTTGGGGTCTTCTATGATTCCGTATAAATTTCTGATGTGCTATTCAATAATGTTTGCTCTACTTTTTTTGAAGAATACCATTTTAACTTTGAGAGGGATTTTATTGAACTCATATATTATTTTGGATATGGCCATTTTAACAATGTTAATTCTTCCAACCTATAAGCAGAGAATCTTTCCATCTCTCTTCTATTTCTGTTTGTAGTATCTTATAACTTCCATTGTACAGGTCCTTTACTTCCTATGTACTCTTCCTCTTTACTAACACTGGCATTACCAATACTTGTAATTTTAGTTGTTCTAGGGAATGTGTAGAGCTATTGTTACTGAGAATAAGCCTGGTTCTGCTCCCTATCACTACTAAAAAGCCAATAAGAGGAAGACAATTGAATCTATTAGCACTTTTTTTTTTTTTTAAGATTTATTTTACTTATTTATACTGGGTATAGTCAGAAGCGTGGGAGGGTGAGAGAATGAGCCAGAGCCAGAGCGGGTAGCAGAATAGGCAGGCAGACGGAGGATACTGCTGAGGGGAGTAGTGGGCGCGGCAGGAAAGGTCTGCGTGCCATGTGGGACCCTCGCCGGCGCCTGGGGATTGAACCAGCGCTGCAGAGGCTGTGGGCAGCTTCACAGCCCAGCGCTCAACCACTGTGCCACCAGGGAGGCCCCTATTAGCACTTTTATTTTTCAGATCGCTGCACAGTGATCTGAGAGAACAGAGGGCGTAGCTCCCTGAAAAGACTGTTTTTGCATGGCCTTTGATCTGAGAGAATGGAGAGACCATTCTGCCATCTCATCTTGAGATGCCCTTTTTATAATGATTTAAACAAAAACAGTCATAGCCCATCATAATAGCCCGTTATAGTTGATATTGTTGGTATTCACCTTGTTCAGCCCCCAGAATTTGTTCTGGTTTCTTGGTTATTTTGACCTTGGTACATCCTGGCCTGATTGGTTTATTTCTGATGGTGTCAGTGTCCAGCCCTCATTTAGACATCAGGAATTTAGACAATCAGGGCAGGAATTTCAGTTCAAAGTAAGAGTTTTAGTTTTAAGAAAACAGAACATTAGAGTGTGTACATGCAGCTTATGCTAGGTGTGTATGTGCAGATTCCTATATTAGGTATGGTATCTTTCCCTTTCATTTTAGTCCTGAATCACTAGCTCCTTATGGTTTTAATTTGAATTTCCCTAATGGCTAAGAATGGTGAGCATCTTTTCATATGCATTGTTTACTTTGGTGAATTTTATGTTCCAGCTTTTACCAACCTTTTATTTGACTTGTTTTCCTATTGTTGATTTTGAAAGTTCTTCATATATTTTATCAGATTATGTAATTCACAATTGTTTCCTACTAGTCTATAGCTGTCTTTTAAGTCTCTCAACAGTGTCTTTAGCAAAGTTTAAAATTTTTATCAATGGTGTGGCAGACCTCTCCTGTCGTGCCTGCTGCTCCCCTTGGCAGTGTATTTCGTCAGTCTGCCTGTTCTGTTCCCCGCTCTGTCTCTGGTGAATCCTCTCACCCTCCTGCACATCTGGCCTGTATCCCAGTTCTTGTATAAAAATAAAAATAAATCTTTTAAAAAATAATAAATTTTTGTCAAGTTAATTTTTAAATTTCTTCTTTTTTGGATTGTGAATTTGGTTGTATAGTTATATAGTTCTGTGATTTTCATTTTGAGTTAACTTTTACATAAGGTATAAGATTTAGATTGGAGTTCTTCATCAAAAAAATTTATAGACAATTGTTCTATAATCATTTGTGAAAGACTATCCTTTCCCCTTTGAAATGTCTTTGCATCCTGTGGTGGTATAATATTGGGGTGATGCCAGAGGTGCGGGGGTGAAAGAATTCATCAGAGAGAGAATGGAGAACAGGGAAGGCAGATTTATTGAAATACCGGCAAGGGATTAGGGGATGAGAGAGGAGATATCTGTATGAAAGAAGGATTTGAGGGTCTCTTTTATACTCTTATTTTTGCCAACTTTCTTAGTTGGGGCTCCAATTTACTTCAGTTACCTGCTGGGATGTCTGGTCTTGGGTGCTGGCCTTTGACACATAATATGCCGTAGCTCTACTTCTGCATTCCTGGAGCTACTGATTTTTCTGTAATGGCGGTTGGCCTTATGACCCAGTTCCCACGGCAATCTTATTCCCTTATCTTTTCAAGCCTCCCAAAATTACCTGCTGGGCAAGGAGTAGGGGCTTAGTTTTTAACCTTATTAAACTACCCCAAGACATCCTTGTCAAAAATCAGTTGAGCATGTTTGTGAAGATCTATTTGTGGGCTCTCTATTCTGTTCTATTGATTGATATGTCTATCCTTTTGCCATTAACTTTGATTATTGTATCTTTATTATAAGAATTAAAATTGGGTCATGTGAATATATTAAAAAAATTTCCGCCCCCTTTCCAAGCCCCCTCCTTTCAGCCTCCAGCAGGCAAGAGAGTAAAGCCATATGTGTATCTGAAACAGTTATACAAAATCTGATGCCAGCAGGTAAAGTAAGCCTTTTCACACCCACTGGTGATCAGGAAACCAGATGAAAAAGATTTAACAATGGGTACCCAGCCTTTGCATCTCTACAGTGCATTCTTTTTTTTTCTTCTTATGTGTGAACTATACATTCCTGTTTATTTGTCTCATAACTTTGTTGTTTGTTTTTTTTTTTTGAAAAACAGGACTTTTATTTTTTAAGTTTTATTTATTTATTTATGCAAGCACTGGGTACAGTCAGAAGTGCAGGAGGGTGACAGAATTCACCAGAGCCAGAGCAGGGAGCAGAACAGGCAGAGTGATGAAATACACTGCTGAGGGGAGCAGTGGACACGGCAGGAGAGGTCTGTCACGCCATGTGGGAACCTCGCCTGCGGCCAGGGATCCAACCTGCGCTGCAGAGGCTGCGGGCAGCTTCGCAACCCAGCGCTCAACCGCTGCACCACCAGGGGAGGCCCTCTATGCTGCATTCTTAAGAAAGGAGATTAAATCTTGCATTACCTTCCTCTAGTATTAGCATATCTTTAGATTGGGACAACTTAGAAGTCCCTCCTATCAAGAATAATTACATTCTTAATGGCAATGACTCCCTGCTTGCACCCATATAAACCAAGTTCAAACTTGTGTTTATTGGAGCAGCTCTCACAGAGTAAAACCAATGGGACTGCTTCTCAAGTCTGAAACCTCACTGTGATTATATAATAAACTATTTGTTTAATTATCATTAAGACTATTTTAGGGGTTGTGCGATCCCTCTAAATTCATTTGTTTTCAGAATTGTTGCAGTTATTCTAGGGCTTTTCCCTTCTGATATAAATTTCATTTTTTTTTTGATCCAAGAAAATCTGACTTTTATTCTTAAATTGTATGATGGAAAAGGAAAGAAATTATTCTCTGATAAGGAAGAGTCATATAGAGCCAAGGCTTCATGGCAGTGACTGAAATGCTGGGACTATAGTTGGGTCTTCCTGCATTCTGTCCTTTTTTTTTTTTTTAACTGATTTTTGTAAAAAAAAAAATTATTGTGTGTAGAAGAACTGGGGTTTAGGCCAGAGGTGGGGGTGGAGGTAGGTGGGAGGATTCACCAGATACAGAGTGGGGAGGAGAACAGGCAGATCTACCAAAATACACTGCTAAGGGGAGCAGGGGTTCATGAAATAGGAGAGTTCTGCTTCACCATGTCTATTAGCTCCCTGGCTAGGAGTTAAACTCAGGGCCTTCGCAATGATAGTGCTAAGACTTAACCTCTAAGCCACCAGGGAGGTCCTGCATTTGCTTTTGTATATCAGCCTGTATATCTCCTGAACCTCAGAATCAGCAGGGTCTTGATCATGGATTTCCCAGCCTCCAGAACTGCAAGAAGGAAATTTCTGTACTTAAGCCCATCAGTTTATGGTATTTTTGTATATAGCCCAAGTAGACTAAGACAATGGGCGATAAAAAGAAAACTCATGAACTCATGTTATACCTCACCAGCAATGGGCGATAAAAAGAAAACTCATGAACTCATGTTATACCTCACCAGCTACGCAGACTGAGCTTTCTGGCCAGCCTCTTTCTCTTTCCACTTACAGCCTTTTCATGATGGTATGTTAATTGATGTCCATTGCATTTAGTCATATTGAAGGGCAAGAGCAGGGACAGGTGAGTCTACACCATCTTGTCATAAACATGCAGCTGATTTTTCAAGCATTTGGGATCCTTAAATGTCCACAGTGTCCCTTGGTATAGTATAACGATTCATATTCCTACAAGCACAATCTACATGTTAATTTTCATCACCCATGAAAGTAATGTTAGGATTTTTGTTTTCAAAATTTGCTTTTGGTTCCTAATAATTGGTTTATACGATTACTGGCTTTATCCTATGAACCTTGGAGATGCCACAAAAGGAATAATTAATTGCTGGATCCCAGAAACACATGAAAATCCATGAGAAATCCCAGGATGCAGAGCCTGGTGGGATTCTGGGTGAGAAGCGAGGCACATTCTAGAGTGAAATTGGTAACCCAGAGCTAGGATGGAAGAGGTCCTGCCCTCCCTGCATTGCCTTGCAATCAGCTACCCAGACTGTTTCTGTGTTTAGGAGATCCTATACCAGACACATGCACGCAGGCGATGCCATAGCAGCTTGAAGTCTGCCTTGAGTGAGTGCTACATCTGGACAGGTTAGCATCTCCCATGGCATCTCTCCAACCCACGGGGCATCAATAACAATGAAGATTGGCAGCCCCTGGACAAAGACAGTGCCAATGCTAGAAGGACTGGGAAGTTCCCTGGGAGCCAAAGTAGCCTTGTGGAGTTGACCTAGCAAGGTTATCTTGCCCTAAAATTTCCGTGGAGCCTGTTGCCCACCTTTCCTGAACTTAACCTGCAAGGTACTGATTGGTGCTATGTCTCCCTGCACCTCCTGTCAAGTATATTTGACCAGCTAAGTGACCAACCTTCCCCAGAGAAAGCAATGGCCATAAGGGCAAATTAGATGTAAGAGGGAAAGAGCTCTAACTGAACAGCAGAGGAAATGGATAAATAGACAAGACAGGAAAAGCATTTTCATGCACACAAAATCTCAGAAGGACATGGAAATACAAGGCTAGGTGATGAATAGTTATCTGGGGATGTTGGGTATGAACAATATAAATATCAAAATGATGGACTTTGTGGGAAGACTCAAGGGCAGAACAAATCACCAAAGCGGGGGTCAAGATAGGGACTTTTTATTTTTTTAAAGATTCACCAGAGACCGAGTGGGGAGCAGAACAGGCAGATCTACTGAAATACACTGCTTAATGGGAGCAGCAGGAAAGAGAAGTCTGCTGTACCATGTGGGTTAGCTCCTTGGTGGGGAGCAAACTCAGGCCATCAGGGTTATATCACTGAGACTTAACCCCTAGGCCACTGGGAAGGTCCCTAGGGTAGGGACTTTTTAAAAAGAGGTAAGGAAGGGGCCAAAAAGATGGAGCATTAAAGAGGGATAGAGGTGAGAAGAATTTATGTTAAGTATATTTTATTATATTTATCTGAGTGCCAGAAAGAGGAAAAATCAATACATAAGAGAAAATATCTGAAAAATAACATAATTTCCCCCTAATTAAGACATAATATCTCAAATTGAAAAGGTACATAGGGTGTGGAGTAGGATAGGATAGAAAAACCTTTTGAGTCAGTGTTATATCTTTTTGCCTGACGTCTATTCTTTTCCATTGCACCGAGGTCTCATGGCTATTTCTAATTTTGTTGTTGTTGATGTACTGTTTCATATAAGCATGCGATACATCCAGGGACTGTACTGGTGGAGGGCATGCACACTGTTGGCATGGAGGACAGGAGGTAGAGCACTGCAGGACTACAGGAATAAGGGGGCAGCTGACCCTGTGCCTCCCAAGTGAGAATAGGAGCCTGAACTGGTGGGGATGGCCAGATCTCATCACCGTGTCTGCAGAAGAGGTTATTATGTGCAGCCTATGGGTGAGAGATAGGAAATACCTGCCTTACCCCTGCCCACAACCAAAGCCGAGATAATAACCAAACTCAAATTAACTAGAAGTTGAGTCACCTGGACCTTAACAACAGGAGCAAGAGCCTGAGGGTAAGTCTCCATACTTGAAAGGTAAAGATAACAATTCTCAGCTTGTCCCCCTATCTGAAATATGTCTCTCAGACATTGGAGGGCAGCATGGACAGCACCAGAGGGGACACTGAGGAGATTCATGATTTATTAAATGAGATGGGTGGAGACAAATGCCTGGAGGTTGTGGTCTGAGGTGGGGAGGCTGCCAGCTGAACTCTTGTGCTGTTGCTCCTGGCTTAAGTAGCCTTAGGGAGGGGAGACCTGAGCAATGTGGAGACACACAGCCTTGACCAAAGGGAAAGATGTGTGGAAGGGCTGGGGTATCCCAGTTTTATGGGCACCCAGTGAAAAGAACAAGAGCTATGTGCTGGGCAATGATCCCCCTTCCACACCCCTTGGGATTGGTACTGACCTAATGAACATAGATGCAAAAGTCCTCAACAAAATCTTAGCAAATTAACAATGTATGAAACAAT